GAGAGAAGATGATGATGATTTATTTCGCGCAGCTGGCTCAGCCTAAAAACTTCGGCGAGTTTGTAAGGATCTTGAGGTATAAACTCAGAGAGGCAAGCACCTTTCTGTCGAGTTAATGGGTGTGGGTCTCTGGCGGAAGTCTTCGGACCTTCTCTGGAATGCTGCCACGAATCGTCGTGACTCCGATCCAGCTCCACGAAAAATCACGGATTGCCCCGAGGAGCTCCAATGTCGTGGTTTTGAAAACGCCCGAAGCTGCCGCAGTGCAGCACGACAGAACCCAAACCATGTGGCCTCAAAGCGGAGTATTAGACTCTTTGAATGATCCTGGGTCTGAGTAAGACATCTCTTTCTCGGGGCGACAAGTACCTGATTTTAGTCCGACTCAACAACGGGTCCAACTGGTGGACTTGGTTAGAGCCAGCATGGGCCTCTGGAGCTTGAGGTGTGGCCTTTTCGGCAACCTCATGTCCGTGGCGGTGGACCCCTACAAGCTCGCCGTGCCTCTGCTGAGAGCATGGGGCTTCGGAGGGAGAAGCCATCAAGCCGCCTGTCTGAAGGTCGGAGCCTCCACCGCTGGGCCGGCGGCCTCAGAGGGTCTGCGCTTCTGAACGATTGGGGCTCGGGAGCGATGACGGACTGTGAAAATGCTAAGCTTGCAAGCGCTCGCACCAGCCCAAATGTCTCTTCGACAGTTTCCAGACTTACACTGCGCACAGCTCTCGTCCGGCGTCCGGAGTCAAACCGCGAGAGTTTGCCGAGCCTGTTGTGTCGCCAAAGCCCGCGCAGCGTCCAGGAAACAAGCAAAGCCCTGGACACAAGGTTTGATCGTCAAATCCGTATTAAGACGTCATCGTGGCTGCTTCTGTGCAGGCTTCACCGGGAACAAACCTGACCCGAAAGAACACAAAACATGTCTCGAGGCACTACAACACCATCACAGCAACAGCTTCGACCAACTCACCCCCTACACGTCTGCAGCTCAAACCCCTAAGCCCGAAGAATTACAGCCCTTGAGCCCTAAGGCCAATGACAATGACCCCTAAACGGGAACGTGTGAGTTGTCATTTCGATGTGCAGCGTTTCAGGTTCGGGCTGATCGGTGTCTGGCTCGTGGGGGCCTCGGCGGAGCTTCCCAGCAAGACTGCACGGCAAGAGCCCGGGAGAGTCCAAGAGAGAAGAAACGCCGCCTGCTACGAGTACATCTAGAAACCAACGGCCATCTCGTGCCCAGCAAAGCCGCAGCCGTGAACGACTCCGAGCCCGAAGCCTCCAACACCCACCATGGATCTCCCCCAAAGCTGAGCCCTACAGAGCCTCTCCCAAGGCCGAGATCCTCCTGTCCTGGGAGATCTTGGGGCCAGCACGGGAGCGAACGGTGATCTGGAGCCCCTGACTGGGGGAAGCGACAGGGCTTTGGGGCTCAGGTGAAGCAGGTTTGAGGGTTCAGGCTTGTCGGTTGCGGGGATGAAGATGGTTAGATTTCAGTGTTTACAAAGGTGTTGGGCTGCACCGCGGGTTGTCAGATGGGACAGAAGGTGCGCTTCTATATGCTCTGAAGCTTCTGAGCAGCTGTTCTGCGCTGGGCGTGCGTGGCGATCCAACAGTATTCCGTTGCACGTGAGGGCAATGCCAAGAGATCCTCCAGAGGATTGTGTGGGCGCATGCGTTTCTACGACCTCGAACCGCTGGTCTCGTGCCTGACATAAACAGAAGCCACTACAGTTACAGAACATCACCATTGCCAGAAGCTCACAACGATTATTGCCGATTATCTTACTTCCGGCAATGTTTGCTGCTGTGTGTATGGGTGCTTGAGCCATCCGGCAATTGGTTTCATGAGTTCCGCAGTTGGAAACAGCCAAGCCTGGAGTGCGGCCCACCCAAAGCCCCAAAGCTCCGCCACATGCCTCACAACTTGGACCAGGATCGTTTTCATGATGATCTCGGTGACCACAATGTCGTCCATTACGCCGAACATGGACATCTTTGGGCGTGGGACTCGCTGTCTAGACACGACTTAAAGAGTGGAGTCCGGCCCAATTCACCCATGAGCTGCAGATCACCTCACACCAACTGGTTGCAGTGACAGCTACCTTCGGTAGAAAAAACCTCTCCGATCAACAATCGGCCATCCGTTTTTTCGGTGCGACAGTTCGTGCGGCACGCCCGTTCCTTGACCATGAATTGAACTTGCAAGTGTGACATTCCAAACCCATCCCGGCAACATCGAACCACCAATGAAGACCTTTTCCGCTCTAGGCACTTGGGCGGAGCTCTGGGTGGATTCCTGCTGTGAGGCCCTCAGGTGTGGGCAGAGCTGCAAGATGCGATTCTGCACAGGAGCTTCATGAGCCAGAAGCACTCATCGCCAAGCCACACATCACCAGCGTCAGCCGGCGCCACCACGCTCCCGACTTCAGGTCCATTGCCATCAGTGACATGAAGGAAGAGGACCGTCCAGAGTGGTACGACCAGGCCCACTGACTGCGGAGAAATTCGACCATGGCTTCAAACGCCGGTGCGATGCAGATGCAGGTCCGTGGTGCGGCCGTGCTTGGCCTGATCATGTGCCTGGGCTTGGCTTGGTGTTCCAAGGTCGGGGCTTTTGTGGTGAAGGCTGAATATGGGTGTCTCTAGCGACGTTCCTTGCATCTCGATCAAGTTTTTCGGTTACAAAGCTATCGTGTGGGCCGTAGAATGCAGCAGCTCAGCACCGTAACATCCGGACATGAAGGAAGAGGTCTGATGATCTCTGTCTGCAACTTTCACTTGCAGAAGAAAAGCTGCGCCGAGCCCATGAGGTGCATGGGCATGGGCTTCACCAAGGCGCGCTGCTGTGCATAGACCCCCAGTCCCTCGATTCATGATGAACCCGTGATGATCACTGCAGAGAGGTAAGGGTAAGCCTCTTGTCTCAATAGTCCATGAGGCCTTCATGGTCAACCCCACCGACCCGATTCCCGACTGCCGTGAACCCAGCGTGCAATTGCATCAGGCGCCAGCCCGAAACCTTGTTACGGCTTGTTACGCACCACTCTCAAAGGTTCCTACCCTAAGTCTGAAACCCATCGCAGCTCGAATGGCCAATTAAATGCTCACCCTCCGCCCTGTGGGCCCGAGGACTTCAGACCACTGGACGCCCTAAGCTTCAGCAGTCCGCTTTTCTTGCCGAGGGCTTCCTTGCTGCGGCTGACAGGTCTTTGACATACAGGGTTGAGGGGCTTTTGAATAATGGTCATAGCATTTTGATAAGGTCAGCAACTAGAAGAGCAACTAACCAGCAGCAATGACAGCAAAATTATGAAGACAAAACAGAATACCAAGAATATCATGTAATCATGATAGCAGTAGTATTCCAAACAGAGGTAGTACTAGTATTCACGGTCGTAATCGTAATCGTCATCGTGATTCTCATCGCTTAGTCGTCCATGGTGCTTATCTCTGACTCTGAGGCCAGATCTTCAAGGCCATCAGCGATGCGCTGAAGGCAGCAACCGCGAGCCATGGACACATGGCTTGAGAGAGGCCGGATCCGGTTTCTTCCCGTCCCATTACACTCTCGCGAACCCTAAGTCCGGAAACCTCTGTGTGGACTGTCATGGTCACGTCTGTGTGGATGAGGAGCGGTCTGTCAAGTTTGACAGGAAAGTGTTCTTCCCGACGTTGTGGGCCGAACTTGATCTTTGTGTTACTTAACAGTAGTGAGAAGTGCAACCAACCTTGCTCGACCGAAAGAAAGAGCAGGTTCAGGAAGTTGAAGCGGAAGTTAGAGCATGGTGTCTTTTACCCCACTCTGCCAGGTACCAGGAAGACAAGGCCGCATGCCTGCGGGATGTGGCCCCCGGGCGAGTGAAATCAATCGGTGCAGCGTGAGCCCAACGTTCCAGATGGAGGGTGGGACATTTTAGAAAAAGTATGCTGCAGCTACGTAAGCCATAAAGTGCAGATCCGTCTATGTGCAACCTTCGCGGCTTCCTATTCCGGCTTCGCCTCTGGCTTCTCGACCTGACTGCTTCAATCTCTCTCACACACTTGTACTGTAGCCAGGTCAGAAAAGCAAGCCATAAGGCGACGCCGGAACATCTTTGGGTTCACGCCGGCACCGCCGCTCCAAGTGTGGCGCGAAAATAAGCTGCACACTTGTCGGGCAGAGCAGTTCCCGAACCCTCGGCATCCGGGGCGAGGGTTGGGGAGGGTAGCCATGGTCTCCAAGGATGGGTGCTTGGGCCTCGCGGGCGCCTGCGTTAGCGGATTTGCGGGTTTGATGTGCGGCATGAGGCATCTTGATCTGGACCGCCTCATAAGCACCTCGGCTCCTTTCAGTTTCCTCTGACAGGCACACCTTTGGACCCTGGTTCTTTCACCACTCATGGCCTGCACCCTAGAAATCATGCCTTGACTCAAGCCCTGCTTGCCCCACATCAAGAGTCGCATTGCGAGCAGCTGCACGCATCCTGCAAAGACGTGGAAAAAGAATGGCAAGCTCCAGGCTGCACCTTCGTATTTTCGTGAGATTAGGTTTGGCTGTTTTGCAGAAGTTAGTTTCGGTCGCTGCACTCGTGCATGACACCACAGAGTCGATGAACGCAGTCTCTCAGCATCCTCTGGAATATAACGGTCCCCAACACTCAGACCCTAAGTTGTAGAAGCCTTGGCGGTGCGCCAGGGCATAGGGGTCCATGGTCGCTTAGAAGGCCAGTGCCCACTTGCAATTCTCCGTCCCAGGACAGCACTAAGACTGCGTGCTTTCCCGAACAAGGTCCACCTGCGCAGTCCGTTGACACAAGTTGCCTGATCTCGGCTGCAGCGCCGTACTTTCGGAAGCACCACACTCGAAAGCTGCGTCACATCGCATTTCAGGTTCGTTGGGCTTTCGGCTCGGGTTCAGAGCTTCGAGATTCAGGGTGTTGGGTTGGTGAGTGGGGCCCGAGGCTACCCGAACTTGGCTCGAGCCCTACAGCTTTCGTGGCACTTCAAAGCTTCCTGCGTTGGCCGCGATGGTGAGTAAAGCCTTCGTCGTAGCCTTCGTGCTTCATCTTGCCAGCTGCGAGGAGAGCCTTATCTTTCTGTTGCTGTCTCTGTCCCTCCCTCCCTCCCTCCCTCCCTCCCTCCCTCCCTCCCTCGCTCGCGCTCTCGCTCTCTCGCTCTCGCTCTCACTCTCGCTCTCGCTCGCTCTCTCGCTCTCTCACTCGCTCTCTGTCACTCCCTCTGTATATGCCCACAACAATCAACCCTGCAGACAGTTCTCAGAACAACAAACAACGTGCAGGATGGAATACATGACTCATGGGAGCCGAATGCTGCGGAGACATGCGTCTGCTGCTGGCCTCTTGCAGATATGCAGACGCACAGAATCAACACAACACGCATCGTGCAACATATTTAGTTGTTCTGGCCAGCTGCTTCAATTCAAACGAAAGCCTTGCAAAATGTGCATGCACGTGTGGAAGCCACGAAAAAATGCTTCTGTTTTGAGAACTCTTTTTTCGTGAAAAAGAAGCATGAGGAGGCTCGTTCATCTTCTGTCAGTGGCAGGAGCAAGCTGTCAAATGAAAGCTTCGTGTGTCGCTAATAAACGCAGATGCCCCTACTTCTTCAATAGCAGGTGGAAAAACCTTTTCTCATCTCCATACGAAACAGCTTTGTGGAATGTCATAACATCCCAAACGCATGTGCCGCTGTTCTTGTGGTAGGCCGGTCACGTTGAGATGACCTGCCAATATCTGGTAATACTGTGAGGCATGAAAATCGTCCCTGGATCCAACAAAATGACGACAGCTCTACATTTGTATATGACGGAGAGTTGGAGCATCTTCATGCTGCAAGTAAACGAGCACAGCTATTCTATGTCTCAAGAACTCAAGAAGTTATCAATCTCTGTACTGTTAGAGATAAACGAACAGCGCGGGAGAACTCCGACTTTCGTGTGCTCTGGAGTGAGAGTTTTTGCCAAGGGTTTGGGTTGGTTTGGGGATGGGAAGAAGCCGATGTCCTTGGTTTGCCCAAGGGACAGAGCCCGAACCCTTGGTTGGTCTGGTTGGATACCTATACAGCCTTTTCCCATTCCTAGCTCCAGCTCCAGCTTCAGTTCCATCTCATCTTTGTCTCCATCCGTGTCTATATCTATATCAATACCTGTATTTGCATCTGTATCTGTACCCAAAATCTACATCTGTATCTGTATCTGTATCGAGATCTAAAACTAGATCTAGATCTCTTTCTCTACTTTTATCTTTGTCTAGACTTATATGTATGCCTCTATGTGCATCCATCCGCCATCCATCCAGCTGTCTTTCCATCCATACATACTATCCTAATTTCCAGGAGTGCCAAAACTGTGGAGAGCCCGTGAGCTTGCTTCAGTCGCGAGCACACGAAGGCTCCATGGCCTCAAAGGGCCAGTCCATCGTCGTGGCTTTGGCCTTGGACAAAATGCTTTTCTTTGCGGTTCACTAAGTCACTAGGCCCCCAACCCCGGACCCTAAACCCTGCAAGCCCGACGCCTTCACACATCAGAGCTCAAGGGCAGTGCTCTGCGCTTTTGCAGCTGTTTCCCATGTGGGATCTTCGAAGCCAGGTGAAAGGCCCCTCGAAATCGAGCGGCTCACCAGCAGAGCAGCTGGCACCGACCTGCGCAGCGGGATTCAATGCCGCCTACGAGAAATGTTTGGGAGGACGGGCTCCTACACTTTCAGTGCATTAGAAGGATGTTAGATCTGCTGCCGGTTTGAGCAGAAGCGTCCTGAAGAGTTGGAAGTGTCAAGCCCAGATTGGGTACGGTAGAAGGATGAACATGATGGTGATTCGAGCCACGGGTGCATCGGTTCTTTTCAGACATGCAGTAGTTGGGGCTTGTGATTACAGCACTGGAGCAGCACCTTTTAGCACCATCCATGTCACCGAACCTTGAGTCTTGTCTCGGAAATGGGCTGACTTGGGGGAGCGGAACCGTTCACTGGTTTGGAGAAGCTTGCACGGAAGGCTTTAGCCAGTCTTGTGGGATCGAATCCATGCTTTGCATGTTTTGGCGGGTTCCTATTTGTGGCAGGCTTACATTCCTCATTATGCAGCACCGGAAGGAAAAAACAGCTATTTGATGATCATTGTCGCTGATGAGAAGGAAGCCTATTGCGCCTACACTGGTGGCTGGGCACAGACGTCTGAGCATCTTGCTTCACAGCTAGTACCTTTGTTCCTAGCGTCCTCAAGCCTGCTCCTAAACCCTTACAAGGGGAACCCTATAAGCCTTGGGAGCCCGCTTGTGGAGGTACTATCCGGATCCTTCTGCGTGCTTCGCGAGCCCGGGTCAGTCGGAAGCTCTTTTCTACGATGCAACATCCCAATCTCTGGTGACATGGTCCAAGGACTCCCAGGTTGTAGGAAGCGTCGGTTACTGGGGACCAAGCTTGAGTCCTGAGCTGTTCTCCGCAGTCTGCTTTTGCTGTCGTTTGCACAGCTTCACGGCTTCAGCAGCCAGGAGACGGCGGTCGCAGGCCCACTGAAGCAGGACAGGCTCTTCGCTGAGATCGAACCAAAAACTCCAACATAAACATGGGTCTTCCATCAGCAGGCTTGTTCGCTCTTCAGGGGGAAGCACAAACTTGTGAAGCCTGGTTAAACCTTCGAAGACGAACAGCAAGGAAGACACAAACGCAAACCCAACAACAGTTTTGTGCAGGTGCGTTTTCAGAAGGAAGGCATAAGGTCTTCGCTGGCCGATGCCCGTGTAAATCTGGCAATCACCCTAAGCGGCCCCCTTGCTGCAACAGATTCACCTGCCCTTCAAGATTACAGTTCCCCTATGTAGTTCGGGTTGCGAGCACACAGACACACACTCAAACAAACAAACACGCACACGCATGCACGCACGCACCCACGCACGCACACACGCGCGCGCGCACGCACGCACCCCCACCCACCCACACACACACACACACACACCTACCTACCTACACACACACACACACCTACCTACACACACACACACACCCACACACACACACACACCTACCTACACACACACACA